ATCCACAGAAGACCCTGCTGGATTGAAAGGTATGCTCCACTACTGCCCGGTGGCAAAATTTTCAACAATTAAAATTAAAAAAAGTTTGGCTTAATCAAAAGGCAGAATTGGCCTCCAGTGACCTCTTGTGGCTACTGGCATGTAATTTTTGCTTCCCTTTACCCTCTTTCCCTTTTAAACATGTGATAAATGTTGACTTAGACTGAAAAAAGTGGTCAATACAGAGGTTGAATCATTGCTCTGGTTAGGATTATATAAATATCCCAAGGTCATTGAATATATATATGTATCTTCCTGAATATAGCTCTAGAGTTTCACCTTCCACAAAGATATGCATCTTCGACTTCTCAAGGATCCACTTAAAGTATTTTCACAATTAGACACACAGCCCTTTGATCACACCCACCCAGTTATCCTCTCTTATCCCTCTTCCACTCCTAATGAACCCTTTCTGCTTCCCATGTCTCCTTACTGCTTTCAGCCTGTTTGTGCCTAAGCCTCTGTGGGGGTGTGAGCAGTGGTAATTTACCCGTGGCTGCCCCACTGAGGAACATGGCCTCTCCTCCCTCGCAGTCATTAGCTTCCCTCGCCATGAGCCCCTCCGAGGATCAACTCCTAAAAAAGTTATATTTGTTCTCTGCCCCTAGGAACTCCTATTAGATAGATCATAGCCAGTGTCAAATGTACTATGAAGTCTACCGCAGAGATTTGTTCCTTTAACTCCCACCTCTCTCAGGATAACCTCATGGCTGTTTGGCACTTGAAGCGGTCCTCTCTAAGCAACAGTTTTACTGTGGGAAATGTCAACTTGCCACCATTGTGCCAATGTTAAGTGTAATTCTTCCAAGCGGCCTGCTTGCCCATTCACCCTGACACTTCTGCTCTGTGCCCTTCCATTCTCCCTGTTATTGTTTGCAGCCCTTGGTGAGAGGCTCCTTGTCGGTCACCAATCCCTGGTCTCCCTTTTCCCTCCTCCCCTCCTCCGCTCTACATTGTACTCATATTTGTGGGGCCATACTCTCCTTGGTTTTCCTTCTCCATCTGGATCAGTCTTGCCATTGCCAGCTGCCCTGATGTCCTGGGTGCCGCCCCCATTTCTGTCTGGTTCCCTTCATACTTTGTCTTTAGGTGGTGTCGCGCACTTACATGGACCCTCATTTTAAAACCCCTCTTCTCCACTCTCTTTCTCAATTCCAAATATAGAATCCAACCACACGCTTACTTTACATTTCTACTTGATGTTTACGAAGCATTTAAAATATAAGGTGGCTGTAAGTTAACTCTAATTTTGTCTTCCCTTACTGAAACCAGATGTTAGTAAATGATAATATGCAGCTGTCTGAACTACTGCAGGCATCATCCCTGATTTCCTTCAATGCTCTGATCCCATCTAAACTATTTGTTACCATCTTGTTCCAGGTACATTCTGCAGTTTAGCTTGCTTCTGTCACTCTCTGATGTTACATCCATCTTCTGTTCAGCTTAGTGCCATGACCTCCCCAATACATTGTTTAACCTCTACAATTTGTTTGTTGATAACAGTACAATAAAGTAAGTTCTTTGCTTAAAACTCTTTGGTGGCTTGTTTTCCATATAACAAGATTAAAACTACTCTAACAGCCTGAAAGGTCACTGACAAGATAGTCCCTGATTTAAGACGGTTTGGTTGAACTTTTTTTTTTTTTTATGGTGGTGGAAAATAGCACATCCCAAGTTTTGACTTTCTGCTTCAGTGTTACTTAGGCATATGATATTCTGTGACACTGGGCAACTTTCATTTGGCCTCATCAACATCTCATCCTCCTCAGCATACCGCCTTGCTGAGTTGTAGTGTTCAGTAGGTTTCATGTATTGATTGCATCATCCATTTCCAGTACTTTGAACTTACTATGGGCTTAACAGGATGTGACATCATCCTAGGTAGTGGCACATTTTTTGTACCTCACCGTCATGTTAGATCACTGTAGCTCAAGTTTATTATACTGAAACCCACTGACTGAAACATACTAAGACTTTCTCCATTCTAAAGCCTTTGTACTTTCTGTTTCCTCTGTCTGGCTCCTAAGGGGACTGTACGTACTTCTAAAGTCATGCTAACATTATGGTTTGAAAATGAAATGTCACCCACTGTGCTAGTAGTGCCATTTCGTGTTGGAGTGCCTCAGGTGCATAGGGCCTACCTGGCTAATGAAGGCTTTTGGGGCTGGGCCTCCAAAGGTACGGCCCAGCCTTGCTCCTGGACCTAACTCAACAAGCTCATTGCAGACAGTACTTCATAGGGTCCCAGTGGTGCAGGTGCCAAGCTTTTGCTGTTACCAAACACTGATACTCTGCACAACTGTGAACTAACCAACCCTTCCTTGTCAGGTCACAGCCACAACAGACATTTTTTTTTAAACATCATTTTTGTCAAAGGATACTTTGTGTATTGTAGCTCTGATGCTTCAGGATTGTTAGGTGGTTGCTTAAGAAATGTTTAGAGTCACTCAGCATTAAAGACCCTTGCTATTCTTAGCCTGTAACACGAGTATGTTTTAAAAATAACCTCTCTCGAGACTTAGGATTTTTGCAGTTCTTTTCCTTAAGGCCAGAATCACAGCAGTATCTAGGGGTAGGACACACTTTGTTTTCTCTTTCAAAATACTTCAACACTTTGTTGGATCCTTTGACCAAAGGGGCCTCACTTGTGTGTTGTCTTGAGGACACGGAATCACCTCCCACCTTTTCACTTTACCTTGTGAGGTATGTATGTCTGTGTGTATCTCAAAGAAATGTCCACAAAATCCTAAAGCTTCTTCATTATTTTGCTCCTGTTAGAAGAAAGAACACAATCTGTAGGACTCTACAGTTTACAGGAACTTCAGTTTACCTGCTTCATAAAACCTCAGACTGCAAGTTTCGGGATCATACTCAATTTACAAATGTGGATAATTTACATAGTAGCTCTGTTTCCTTGACTCTAAACATGTGCTGTTCACCACTGCCTTCCCCAAGGCTTACACAGGGCTCATCTCTTCCATCAACCATTTCCTTTACATTCTAGTTCTTTGGAATAGAAACTTTTTTTTTTTTTTTACTTTTCTTCGTTGTTTACATCTTTAGGAAATCACAAATTTGTTAGCTCTCAAATTTGGGACAAACGACTGAACTATTTAACATATCAAATTCAACCTACCCACTAGGTTCTCCCAGCATCCCACTCCCTTACCTAGTAGGAGCTATGGCTGTCCATAGCCATCTCTCTACCCAGAACCCTCCAGCCCAGGGGCTGGGCTGCCCTTCCTTTCCCCAGAGGCTCTTCTCTATATAATCCAGGGTTGGTTACCCTGCCCTCCTTTTTTTTTTAAGCTTTGCCCTCTTGGCTGCTGCACCTGGCTCCCCTCTCTGGAGTCTCCTCACATGGCTCAGGGTCATGCCCACTCTCCCAGACATCTCTGCCTCCACCTCTGTGCTCTCCCTTTTTTCTACATTAAACTTTCTCCTCCACCATGTGTAGGAGCAATCATTTCCTTCCTTCTTTTCTCATTCAAAATTCACCTTGTGAGTTATTCTAAAGCACGAAGTAACACTAAGGTATCAAAAGTACTGAACTGCAAAGCCACATTATTTAACTATGTGTGAAGCATTACATGTGTAGAAAGTGTTCAAAACAACATTTGTGATCAAAGCCTAACAACAATTTGAAGTCAATCTTGTTCAAGTTCTTATATCTTTGAATGAAACAGCCACTACGTGGGTAAAAAAAGGGAAAAGTTTATTCCAAACTGCCAAGCAGAGAGCAAAAACTGAAGACCGAGCAAGAAAACGGCTGTGGCTCTGTGTAGGGTGAGCTAAAGGCACTGGAGGCATTTCATGAACACAGCAATGTGTAACTGAACTAGGTCAGGTACGTACTAGCCCTGAAACTTGAAATTCTTCCGCAGCTAGCCATCGTATCACTAGCCATCGTATCACCAGCCCTCGCCCCAAACACCAGCAAAGATTCTTACCATTTCTTTGGAGAGACTAGGAAAGGACTTTAAGAATGCTGCCCCATCAGCCCTGAGACTTGGGAGAATGGCTCCTACATCCCTAACCAACCAGAGGTCCCCCAATTAGTTCCTTTTCCAAGGTCGGGCACCAGGCAAAAAGCCAGCATTCCCTCAGGGGCCTGAAGAGATTCCTACTTGGTAAGGAGTCATTCCCCTGTCCCTGGGAAAAGGGACACGTGGCTCTGCCATTAACTTAGGGCTGTGGTGTCTAATCTATTGGCATGTCAAGGTCCCTCCTCACAAGCCCCTAAGCCAGCTCACAGCCTCCCTTCCTCCCACGTACCCGTTTCCATACAACCCAGGAGACACCCGGCCCCCTGCCAATCCCTCCCCTCCCCCACACCCCTCCCCCAAACCCTGCCCCCACCAGCCAGTCCAGCGCACGCGCCTCTCTGCTTTCCCGAGAGCGGCCTTGGCAGTTTGGAATACACCTTTCACCCACGGGGCAGCTACGTGGGTTTCTTTACTTCGCCCATTTCATTCAAGAAGTCAATTTCAGACGTCTCCAACATCCCTGGAGACTTGGAGACCGGGTCTGGCCTTCCCAGCCCGGACGGCGGCCGCGCCTTAGGCTCCCAACAAACAGTACCGGGAAGAGCCGGGCTCGCGCCCAGGCGCGCTGGTGCCGGCCCAGCCCGCGAGGACGGCCCGCCAGGGTCCGGAGCCCGCGCATGCGGACTCGGCGCCGCGGCCCGGCCTCCCCAGCCGCTTCCTCCCGGGCCTCGGCGGCGGTTTGGAGCCCGCTGACAGCTCCACGACCTGCGGACGCAGCCTCGTCTTGAGCTTCCACGTTACCCTATCAGCGCCGGGGCGGGGCGTCCGCCTCCACAGCCAATCAGCGCCAACCACGACCCAGGCGAGCCGCGCCGCTCCGCGGCCAGGAGGGAGGCGATTGGGCGGCCGCGCTGGGGGCGTGGCGTCCCCCGGCCCCGCCCACAGCTGTTTTCCGCCGCCGGGCGCCCGCCGCCGCCGAGGCCAGAGTGACGGACTGAGCGGACGGAGGGCGCTTGGCTGCGGGCTGTGCGCCGCGCGGGCTGCTGGGCCGCGCACCTTCCTGCTGCTCGGCCTCGGCGCCCTCGGACATGGTGGCCCCCGGCTCGGTGGGCAGCCGGCTGGGCGCGGTGTTCCCGTTCCTGCTGGTCCTGGTGGACCTGCAGTACGAAGGTGAGTCCCGCCCTGCGCCCGGGCCGGGCTTCGGGCCGGGTCCCAGCCGGGAACGGCGCTCCGGGGCGCGAGGCTGGGCCCGAGCCGGGTCCGGCTGTGGGCGGCGGGGAGGCACGGCGCCGGGGGACACGGGCTCGCTGGTGCCGGAGGAGGCGGTAACGGCGGCCCGCACGGGACGGGTCCCGGCGGCCGGAGCGGGGTGCGGGCGGCCGGGGAAGCCGGGGCCGCTGAGGGCGGGTCCACAAGTCGGTCCGGATTTAGGCTGGTGCCGGAGAAGCCCTGCTGGGCTCCGAGTCCCAGCCCCTGAGTTCTGGGCTCTGGGTCTGTGGTTTTACCGTTCCCAGCATGGCGTCATTCAACTTTTCTTTCCTCTCGGGCTACTTTCTCTAGTCATCGGAAAAAAGGTCTCCGCAGAAAGATCGGGAGCGCTTACACTTCACCCTGGCCTCCAGACTGGAATGTTGGTTACTCTTAACAGAATAGCAAAAATAGAGGCCTGTCCCATCTTGGGTGTCAGAGCCGGGAGGAGTTAAAACATTGACGCCCCAGATGCCATTGAATAATGCTTACCAACTTGGTTACTGTGCTGAAGTGACATCTGTCGTGGGCACTGATGTGCTCATTTCCGTAAGTGGGGGGATAGTTGTCAAGGAAAAGAGTAAACAATTGGATATTCCATTGGGGGGATTGAGGAACTGAAATTGGGAATAGTTTATGGTGAAATCCCACCAAAGTGTATGTGGGTTTCTTGCTTTTTTAAAAGTCGTGCTCTTAGGTTCTTACATCTCCATTAAAGGTAGAACTTTTGTTTGTTCTGGCTTCCGGATGGCCAAAGGTTCTTTGAGCCTCAGATCAGAATTCGTGCTGTGATAATAACCTGGCGTTGAAGCCAGCCTCAAAGTGGGGGTTGGCATTTGAAGGCCTAGATTACTTTAATATGGGTTATACATTCTAATTCTCTCGCATTTTCTAATTCTTCCCATCTGGACTAATCATGCCTAGTGACCATTGAGTACTTATTTTGGGTTATAAGTTGTTTAGTTGGTATGTTCATTTTTCAGAAATAGAAGTGCTTATTTTTTGTTTGCTTTACCTTTTCCAGTAGCTTGTAGATCAGGCACATTCGAATTTCTGTTTTTTGTAGGATTCCTGAGACTTTTAGCACTCCTCTTCTTTCTCTGTTTCTGTGAGAAAACTTGAAGTTTTTCTGTCTGAAAAGCACTAATGGCACCCCTCAGGGGAAAGCCAGTGTTGCTCTTTTCCAGAGCATTGACTGTGTAAAATAGCAGGTGACGGAGAAGAAAAGAGCCTTTCTGTGAGCCATTTCTTATTCCACAGAGACACGAGATAGTGTCTGATTTACACATGGGAGGGGACTGGTGTTCCAGAGCTTAATGAAAAGTTATCTTGGGGCTGGAGAGATGGTTGGTGTGCTTGCCGGTCTTGCATTTCCAGTACCAGGTCAGGCTACTCACAGTTAGCTGGTATTCCAACCCTGGGAGTCCTCTTCTAGTTCCCCAAGCGCCGGGAATGTGGAGCCCAGTTCCACACTATAGGGAATGCAATGAAGAAGGCCTAACTTTCTTTCTGATTTAAACTAGGCTTTCCTGTTGTAATCCAGAGAAGGAAAACATGAACTGGAAGACTTACTCTCAACATTAACCCTTCTCAAAGGCCTTTATAAGAAATCTAGACATGAGAAATAGATTTTTTGAGTAGAAAGACAGTTTTAGGGACTGGAGAGATGGCTCAGAAGTTGAGTGGCTGGCTGCTTTCAGAGAGGACATGCCTTCAGCTCCCAGCTCCCAGAGAGCACATGCTCTCTCTCACACATAGAGCCACAGATAAAATGCAAACAAGTAAAAAGAGAACTTTAGTATTCACGTTAGCATTCTCAAATTGCAAATACGATCACTTCATTCTCCCTCTACTGGCTTATTTAGTGACCTGAGTATGAGTACAGAATGAAAAACATTTTGTGTTGTCATAGGTCTCTCTTTTTTTCTTGACATATATCACATCCCTGCTCTCACATAACTCTCCTGTGTCTTCTCGCTCCAAACCTTAAGTGTAGTGGCCTGCGTGCCTCCCTCAGCTGAGGTTTATGAACCCAGATCTAACTGTCCACAACCGGCCCACCCCCAGGGTCTCACTGTGGAGCCCTGGCTATCCAGAAACTCGCTCTGTAGACCAGGCTGGCCTCTGACTCAGAGATCCACCTGCCTCCGCTTTCCCGAGTGCTGGGATTAAACACCATGCTTGGCTAGGAACCCAATTTTTAAATTCCACCGACTTAAGCTCATTATACCATATGTTTGGGCCATCATGTGAAAAGACTTGAAAATCAGTGCAAACAAAAGTGTGATACATTTTATTTAAACTGGCAAGTTAAAAGTATATTTTACTGTGTTTAGTATTTTTTTTTGGTATTAGTTAAATATGAAGAGAAAATTTTTAATGAATGATTTTTAGGTAGTTTATATAAACAGATGTTCAGATAGCTTCCTAAAATCATTTTGAATTATTTAGCAAAGTAGATTATAAAGTTAGCAGTAGTGTCAAGGTTTCATTTTCCCATGTGAAGTTAACTGGTTAAGTTTAGTTCTTATTATCACAATCTTTTAACAGATTGGTTGGTTGATTGTGTGTGTGTGTGGGGGGGGGGTTGTTTGGAGACAGAGTTGCACTCTTTAGCCCAGGCTGGTCTGGATGAACTCTGGAATTGGGTATGTAGAGCAGGATGGGCTGGAAGCTCAGCTCTGCCTTCTGAGTGTGGGGTTAAGGGCTTGCCCACTGCACCTGCCACCTTTTGATTAGGAGGATTTAACTGTGCTTAGGTAGAGATAGCTCTTGGAGGTCATCACCTTTCAGAACTCAGTCATTTCTCAATCATTTAGTTTCATTCAACCTTAAATTTATTTTGCTTTCCGTATCTTTAGAGAATGGCTCTTTTAAAAATAGATAAATATGACGGTAAGTTTGTTGGTTGGAGTTTTGGAATATAAAAAAGATTTCTGTGTCAGCAAAGGTCATGCTCTATGGTGCTGTGGTAAGGGATATATGTGGTGAGGTGTAAAATTAATGAGCTCCCTAAGAGACCAGAACAGAGAACATAAGACGTGCGTAAGAACATAAGAACTATCCATTTTTTTAAATTATTTTCTTCAAGCTTAATAGGCCATCACCGCTGCTGCGTTAATCCAAATAAACATTCTTACATTTTTCTGCTCTGTATTCTTTGGCTTTCCCTACCTGGCAGATCCCCAAGTCCGTTAAATTCAGGCTTGGCCATCTTGTTTGTTGTACCTAAGAGAGAAACACAGGTGGAGGAGAACAACTCTTGTAACACAGTCTCTTGGGCTCACGCTCACCTGCACTGTTCTGCTAGTTCTTATGATTCTTCCGTAGGCTCTACTTGAAAAATCAGTTATTTAAAACCCTTTCTCTTATAGATGCAGTTTAAATTCTTCTTCTCTTACTCCCTTAACTTCCTCTCTTTTTTTTGTTTTTTGAGATCTGATTTGAGACATTAGCCTTGGCTGTCCTGGAATTTACTCTGTAGACCAGGCTGCCTCGAACTCATGGCCCTGGAAGTGCTGGGATTAAAGTCAGGGGCCACCACATAGATTGGTGACTGCCTCCTCCTTTTTCCTAACAGCAACAACAAACAGCAACAGAATGAGGGGAGGTGTTAAGGGGGGAGTTGGGCCTGTGCTAGCACAGATGTGGAGGCCAGAGGAAACTCTCAGGAGCTTGTTCTTTTCCTCTGACATGTGATATGGGCTCCAGGGATGGAGTTAGGTCCAGCAGGCGTGGTAGCAAAGTGCTTTACCCGCAGAGCCAGCCCGAAGGCCTCCTGTAACCTCACTCTTTACATGGTGTCTTTGTTGAGACTGAGCGCACCGCAGGGCCTCTTTCTAGTCTTTCTAGCTTGTCTGCTGCATCTCTGCCCATATTTCTACCCACTCTGAGTAGTTTTGCTTGATGAATAGTTTTGATTTTGAGAAGTGCTAGGTCACTTGGATAACCTGGTGTTGGTCTTTAAAAATAAAAGTTGTTCAGTCTGGTTATGAACTTGCTTTGTTTCCCAGGCAGGCTTCAAACTGTCCTGTCTTAGCATCTGTGCTGTTGCGATTGTAGGCACGTGAAAGGGTTTTCTTGTCCCTCACACTGAAGAAGGGCTGAGTGCTCTAGCTTCACGTGGCAAAAGGAGCAGTTTGCTCCCGCAGCTCTTTCATAAGGCACTAATACATCTCTGAAGGCACAGACTGATGACTAGTTACTTCGCAAATTCTGTAACACCAGGACAATGGACTAAGTGTTCACAAATGAATTTTGGGGATATTCAGAGCAAGTTGTTTGTCTCCTTTGTCATCACTTCCTTCCCCTCTAATGGATCACTCCCATCAGCACTCCAGCATACCTTTTGTACCTTCAGCTGTTTTCTGATGTTAATCCTTTGTCTGGGAAGCTACTGAGTTGTATTGTAGTACAGTCTCGTGGTAATAAAATTAAAAAAAAAATTATTTAAAAGATTTTATTTTCAGAGGCTGGAGAGATGGCTCAGCAGTTAAGAGCACTGGCTGCTCTTCCAAACTACCCAGGTTCAATTCCCAGCAGCCACATGGCAGCTTGCAACTATCTGTAACACCAATTCCAAGAGATCTGACACCTTCACAATAATGCACATAAAATAAAAATTAAATAAAAGATTTTATTTTATGTGTATGGATGTTTTGCCTACATATATGTCTTTGCCCCGTGTGCATGTCCTGTACCCAAAGAGGTCAGAAGAGGAGTTGGAGGCCCTGGAGCTGGCGTTAGTGATGGTTGTAAATCACAATGTGGGTGCTGGGAACCAAACCTCGGTCTTCTGCCAGAGCAACAAGTGATCAAGAGCCAGTGCGCTTCTCCCCTGAGCCATTTCTCTAGCTCTAGCTACATAGTTTTAAGGAGTGATGGGTAGCTTTAGTTCTATTATTTGTCTTACGTATTGTTTA